ATCTCGATCTTCTTCCATATCTAATACAATGACATCCTCAGGGTAAATACACTTGTCCACCTTCACCAAGACATCTTCAATAATCCCCCTTGTATGCTTTATGGAGCAGTCAGCTAGTTGCAATGATATTGTGGTTGTTTTGGCCTCTCCATTTCCTAGTTTCCTGTGCAAAGACAATAGCATTAAGTTTATACTTGCGCCAAGATCGCATAAAGCATGTTCAAAACTCCCTAGATCCTTCTGCTTTGGGGATAATTTATTCTGTAGAAGAGCACTGCACTCCTCGGTTAACATCACAGTCTCATAATCCTCCAACTTCCTCTTATTAGTGAGAATTTCCTTCATGAATTTTGCGTAGCTAGGCATTTATGCTAGAGCATCCGCGAATGGAATGTTAATGTACAGATTTTTAAACACTTCAATGAACTTGGAGAACTGTTTGTCCAAGTTTCTGTTTATGCAGTTGCTGAGGAAATGGAATGGGGGTACATATTCTCTGAAAGGAACAACCGCCTTAGCCTGTGGTGTGTTTGAATTCTCTTTCAAAATTTTCTAAGTTGACTTTTCAAATCCGTCAAATAGCATCATTTAAAGTAGGCACTTTATTTATCCCTACTACTGGTCTTTTTACTGTAATTTTAGACAGTTGTACTCTACTTCTTATTGTAGTTGCTTGCACCTGTCCCTTTAGATTAGTTTCTGTGTTGCTAGGTAGGACTCTTGTGGTCTTTCTGAGATAGTGCGGGCCAACTGACCTATTTGAGTTTCTAACCCCNCTGTGTTGCTAGGTAGGGCTCTTGTGGTCTTTCTGAGATAGTGCGGGCCAACTAGCCTATTTGAGTTTCTAACCCCTTTATGGCTGTTGAATGGTTTTGCAAGGTTTTTTCGATCTTTTCCATATGCTGGTCCGTCTTCTGTATAAGTTTACCCAAGATATCTTCCAGAGACAATTTTTTCTCTTGCTATTGAAAACTAGAGAGAGGCTGCTGCTGATTATTTTGGTTGTTGCTCTAGGAGAAGTTAGGGTGATTACGTCAACCTAGATTGTATGTATTGTTTAATGCATTGTTGGCTGCCATCGTCTCTTATAATTCCTCAGCTTCATTGGGTGAATCTAATATGATAGATCCATTTGAAGCTGGATCTACCAATATACGACTTGCTAGGTTTAAGCCAGTGTAGAAATACTGAACTTACAAATTTTTCTTAATACCGTGGTTATGACACTTCCTGATCAAGTGCTTAAACCTTTCCCATGCTTTATGAAAACTCTCTAATTCATCCTGCTGAAAAGTGGGTATCTCGTGTCTTATTGTAGTTACTTTTGACAGTGAAAAGTATTTTATGACAATTTTTTGTATTAGATCATTCCAGGTCCTAATGCTT